GGGCACAACCTGAAGCAGAAGAGGTTCCAGTTGAATATGAGGAAAAACTTCTTTACTCTGAGGGTGCCCGAGCCCTGGCCCAGGCTGCCCAGGGGGGCTGTGGAGTCTCCTTCTCTGGAGATACTCAACCCCCGCCTGGACGCTGTCCTGTGTAACATGCTCTAGGGGAACCTGCTTGAGCAGGGGGTGGCACTGGGTGAGCTCCAGAGGTCCCTTCCAACCCCTGCCATTCTGTGATTCCTGATGCCTGCTTTGGCGGCGCTCGCCGAAGCCACCGGTCCCTTCTCTGCCTCGCAGCTCTGGGTGCAGGGAGGGATCCCCACCTCAAGAGATGCGGGTTCCTCTGCACCAGCAGCGACCCAGGTCACCACCCAAACCCTGGATTCTCACCAGCGGGCCGTCCTTATCCAGATTCCACCACTGCCATCACACAGCGCTAACGTGGCTCCCGGAATGCCACCATCACCTCTCCCCGCGGGACATTTTCCAGCTGGACTTCAAGTCGGTCTTGCAGGACTGAGTCCGGCAGGAGATGGCTCTTACGCCTTCCAACACGGCCGGGTGCTGGCCCAGGCACCCTGCGCTCGCAGCGCTGATGGCTAATGAAACCTCAGCCTGCTCGTTAGGCTTCTCAGACACACACTGCCTCCATCCCAGCTACACAAAACATTTTCTGAGCTTCACCGACCTGTAACTAGGCTGAACTGGCTGCTCAGGAATAATCAAATTAATGAATGGCAAATCTCATCTCACGCACATGTCAAAGGAGCAAAAATAAATACCGAGTCAGGAGGCAGAATTTAAAAAACAAACAAACAAAAAATCTTCAGACTGATTCTCTCGGGAATGAGGAAGCTTGCTTTCAGGAAACAGGAAGCTTTTCCATGTTGTATTTGTGAACAAAATTCTTTGCATCGATGCTGCTTTAAGCTATGTTACACTGCTCTGCTAGCGGTGCTGTGATTCCACCCCAGGAAAAAGGCAAACCGGATCCTCTGGGGTTTCTCGGGGGTTGGACTAGATGACCTCTAGGGGTCCCTTCCAACCCAAAACTTTCTATGATTCTGTCAATAATTAGACACAGACCAAAGAATTTTTAAATTCACTGACTCCAGGAAAGCAAACCCACTCACCAAGGTTAGCATTACTCAGCTCTAACATGTCTGAGCCTTTGCACACCAGCGACAGCTTTCTAACAACTCCTGTCTCTAAGGCAGCAGAGTTTTGCTCCACAAGCTACCACCACAGAGCGGTTTGACGAGTGTTCCCATTGCCCTTTCTGAACTTAACAGCGCTGCTCCTGTAACTGCAAAACATCTTTAGGAGCAGGTATGAGGTGTAAACGGCTACTGCCGCTTCACTGCATTAACACAGACCAACTTTTAGTCATGACTATTCAAATAAACAGCATTTTCTCTTCCAGCCGAAGTAAACCTCCGCTGCTTTTCAGGCAATGCTGAGCTGTATTTTGGTGTGTGCAATGCTGGATGGAATTAGGATGAAGGGATTACAATTTTGCAGCTGGGAGGGGAAAAAAAAAAAAAAAAAAAAGGCCCAATTCTTTAGTCATCCAGCCTGGCTTACAGAATACAGTAAGAAATTATCACATCGACATTTACAAGAACAACCCCAAACTTCTTTAAAACTGGCAATTTAAGAGTATGCGGAACCTCTGTGGTACGGACACAAGACCTGGCCCTGCGGTACACAGCCAAAGAAGAACTCCATTAAATCTGGAGGCTGGTTTCTTCTGTTGGTGATTAATTTTTTTCCCTACCCCCAAGGGAAACTCATGGGACGCCTCTTTAGAAGATAGCCCAAATGATGTTACAGTGTGCGAACACAGGACAGATTTAGATGACAGTGTTTTACAACTTGGTAAAACACAATCTCCCTGAAAAATAAGAAGTTATTAGAATATATTATCATCAAGCCTGGTCATCCAGATCCTGTTTGCAACTCTGCTGCAGGGCTGAAGCGGGACTTTGAGCAAAGCAGTGCCATCTCTTTCCCCACTGGTAGGCTGGCAGCCCCCGATACTTCTCTTCCTCACACAACTGAGGACACACAGAATCCAGTTAAGCTCTGGTGCAGAAGCAGAGACATCCAGGGAAGACAGTTAGACTGTGGATTAACTTTTCTGCTTGTAAAGTGCACGGTGTAATTAGCATGTCCTGAAAGGAAAAATGGACTAAAAAGGAGCCCTTTGAAAGAGAGAGAGAGTGAGCGCTGAATGTCTTGCACTAAGGTTATGTATTTAACAGTTTTACATGAAATATTTATATATAAAAACTTTGTTAAGTGCTTTTCTCCAATTTAAAAATCTAAAGAATTCAAAAATAAGGCATTCAATATTTGAAAAAGTACAGATTTACAAAATGTGTATATTCTGTCATGAAAACTCCACACCGACATTATACACTTGGAAAAAAAATACAAACAGGATATATTACAAATTTATGTAGCAATAACTTAGTTCATACCATGCAATAAAAAGTACGTTAATCAAGATACACAAGCTTTTAAGTTTCCTAAACTGGAGGGCTTAATTTTGTTTGCAAATGAGTTTTTATGCAAATTCTTAGAACTGTGGCACTTGAAATTTCTGGTAGCCTTTCTATTGAGAGTTAAATTGTACACCATGATTACGAGGATGGAGAGTAACAAAGCAGCTGTTACGAATCATTCCAACTTTGTTCGACAATAGCTGAAACTCTTTTCTCATATTCACGTTTGTTCTCCTGATAGAGTTGTGCCGCCTGACTGTTTGCTGGACTGTTTGGATTAGGTTCGTCAAGCAGAGACTGTAAAAAGGGGAAAGCAAAACATGCAACACGTTTGAAATCAGGGAAAAAAAAAAAATCAACTTAGAGCTTTCAAATCACATGTTTCAGGAGGCAGACATGACTCAGAAGAGCCCAATTGAAAACAAAACCAAAAAACCCAAACCCCAAACAGTTAAACTCCTGGTTAGGCACCCATAATTACACTACCAAACCTCAAATTATAGCCTGCATAAGCCTGAGCACTGTGTAACCCCCTAGGCTCACAAACCTAAGAGATAGATGGTCATTTGTGCCAGTTAGCAGTAAGATGCTAATTGATTATTTGGTAATTACACTACTATTGTCATTCAGGACTAAAGAGGGGCTTAAGATGCTTCCTACAAAACTCACTGTAGAAAAAGAAAAAAAATCACACAGGAGAAAATGTACATTTTTGCTGTGCCAGGCTGTTTTTACTTATTCCAATAAAGCAGGTTTCAGGAGTATTGTCTCCTTGAGGACTTCATAGGGCAAGGCTTCACGATAAAGGTTAGCGTTTCAACCATTAGGCAAATCTCTCCATCTGATGTCCTACCTTGACTAAAACGGTTAAAAAGGAATCCCAAAGCAGTAACTGTTTTCCCCTAAGAAATCTCTAATGGCAGTTTTGTAGCCCAAAATAAGTAATTACACCAGTCAGCACCTTAGCCTTTACTTGATCTAAAAAGCTACTCCTTAGCTGACAAGTGATGGAAGCCCCCCTTGATCTAGCTATCTGCTAGACACCTCACCAAGCTGTGTATTCTGGAATAGAGACTAACAGCAGCACAATTATTTGCAAAAACAGAGGTAAAGTTACCTGAATTGAAGTTAAAATAGATGAAACATCGTATGTTGGACTCCAGCGATTCTGAAGAATATCTAAACATATGCTACCATCCGCGTAAACTGCAAATATAACACAGAACCATTTAGAAACTATCAGATTTATTTTATAGTTTGTTCATTACATATTGTTCAAGACAGAGTTACTGGTTCCAATTCAGACTGTGCTTAAATCAATGCTTTGGGAAGGAGGACAGCAGTTAATTTTATGTGGTTTGGCATCTTGTATTCCAAAGGAGAGATATTACTGACAGTAACAGAATGCTTAAGAGGAAAAGGTCTAAAGATGATGGCATTAGCACAGGAACCGGTAGACTTTGTTTGCTCCTCTTATGTGACGGGCCCGGACACACAGGGAGCGAGGCCTCCCAGAGAGCAGCGAGACATTTGCTGCAGGAGGGGAGCCCACTGCGCCAGGCGAGCGTCCCAGTCTGCACGGACTCACGCGCCAATGGAGGGAGTTCTCGCCCTGTTTTCACATACTCTACTCTCACTATGAGAGACACCAACGCAGACAAGAAATACTGAATAGCATATGCCTGAAATCCTACTTCTGTCTGAATACCCATCGCTAGTCTTAATGTAAGAGTCTGCACGAAACCGAGACTGGCCAAAGTCCTACAGCCCAGCCTTCTAGCTTGCTCATGCCCACGAAAAGCAACAAATTCCAAAAACCCAGTCGGAGGCACACTGGCCTGCGCATTACACGACAGCTGAATGGTTAGACAGCACTGCCTAAAAGGTCACAGAACTGAAGCCGAGCCTGCCTCGGTTCAAGGAGGGCTCAAGCTACAAGAAATGCTCTAACAGGCTTGTGCTTCAACCCTCAAATTGAATCTGTACCCCTCTTTGCTACAGAGGGGCTTGGAAAAGCAAAAGGCACAGCTGGTGTTTTCTGCGCGCAAGAATAACTGGATAAAACCTGTCAAGTGTTGCAGCAGGAACCACAGCACTCCCTCACAACACTGCCCTCGCCGCTCAGCTCCCACCTTCCCCCTTGTGCTAGCGCCGGTTGGTACAGCGAACCAACTGAAAGCTCGGACTTGGCTGAAACCTCTCCTGACAGAAGTAAGTAACATTTGGCCCAATCAGTTCCCTACCCCAATTCCCAACATGGCTGCGTGTACACAATTGCTGTTAAATGGAAGGGGGCAGGAATCTGCAGCCAGAATTGCCTCTTCAGGCCGACCTAAGTGCAGCTGCTGCTACAAACGCTCACAGGCTTTGCTACTGAGGCCATATATTGATTAGAAAGACAGAGATAGTTGCTTCTTAATAGCATCATAATTCTTAATTTTTCATCAAGCAGTTGCTGTCCTAGACATCTACTTAGGAGGTGGCAATGAAGAGAGATGGACAGCCATTAAGCAACCTGGAGCTTCGCAGAATACATGGTGGCACACCATAATATTTAATGGGTATTATGGCTAAATAAAAATGATTTACTCACCATTTGGATGGAACATTTTTGATAAAAACCTTACAGTTGGAGGCTTATTTGGATATTCTTCTGAAAATTCTATTACTAGTTTAAAAGTACCTGTCCAAACAAACATAAATACAATCAGATAACTAACAACGAAATAACACCTCCAAGAACGTATACAACATAAGTTCATTTATGTGCTCCACGATCAATATTTCTTCGCACCGTTAAATAAACTAACACCACCGAGCATGGTTTCTTTTCATATATTTCAAGTTATAACGGAGCTATGGAACTACCGCTTAGTGACAGTAATAAAACCAGCAGCAGCAGCTCGTTAGAAGCCTGGAGGTTCACTGTGCGCATGGCAAAGGCAGGTAGATCCAACATCGATTATCCCACTGCCCTCCCCTTCTTTTGTGACCCAGCGTGCTGGTTCCACGGACTTTGGTGACTTTAAGGCGTTTCATTAAGGCAGCACTGTGGTGCCAGCAAAGAAACATTGGAATTTCACAATCAGCAATCTCAGTCTTTGGAGCTCTTGATTGATTCACTGAAAACCTTTATTACGGATCAGTGAATAATTTACTGTAACTCCTCCAACCCAACACAGAGGAAAACCCATCTGCTGCCGATTACTGCAATAATAGTATAATTATTAAACTCATTATTCCTCATATGCCTAAGGGAGGTTCATTACACACCAACTTTCATGTTTATGTACAAATTCGGTATTCCCTCCCCCTTGCTGAGTTCTATTTCAGAACAATTCAAAATTTTTCACCTGTTCTTCATTAGAAGAACAGAGATGAATCAACCATGCCACAAAGATGAAACCAGAAAAGCACACTGTCTTGTTGTGCTTAGCCATGGAGATGTGAAAACGCATCTGGCAGCATTAGACCAACTTCCCCCGCTAAAAGCTCTAGTGTACATGGACAAACAAGTCTTGCTGCAAGCATCGCTTTGTAGCTTTCTAACTAACCATCAACCACTATGACAAGACACCGCTTACATCAAAATACATATTTTTATAGCCAACAAGACCTTACTCTTTCACTTGCTCGCTTAGTTTGTTCCAAATTATACACAGATAAAATCTATTATTTTTTTTCCAAGCAGAACAATGTTAATACTGGCAATATCTGTGAGAATTACAGAGAATGTAAGAGTTAGCGGCTTACCATCTTCAAAAGGTGTCCCTTCTGGCCTGAAAGGTTTTAAGAATAAACTCCAGTTAAAAATGATCATTACCTACTTCTAAACAGGCAAAATAAATGTGTATCTTCTTCCTCATCCTCCCCAAGATACAGGTAGAAGAAATGATTTTAATATTTAGAGGAGTATCCAGGGGGGACCTCTGGGAGCTTTGTCGTATCTAAGACACTTTCCCCCAGCGGATCTGCTAGTCGAGGTATCTGCTTTCTCATCAGCCCCAACAATCCGCAAGCCATTACCTGAGTGGACTGGAATTAACGAGCAAATTACTAGCAAGGACACTTCAGCTTTATGAAGGCCAACCAAGCCAGTTCCCATTCTGCAGGAGATGTAATGTAACTTCCTAGGCAGGACCTGTACCTTGTTCTACTGGGAGTCGATCCAATCACTGCTAATACATCTGGATTTAATGGCAGAGAACATGCAGCTCTTATGCACTTCAAAGAGGAAGCCTGCTTTTTCATAACCCGACTCCTGCACAGTCTAACCTATTTATTAAGCCATATGCAAGCTTTATTGAACAAAAAATATTAAAAAAGTTTTAATTTCTACCCCCCGTGCATTCTGTATTACCCCTGAAAACAGGTTTTTACCACAACAGCACAGTTGGTCATTTTTCTAAGTTTCCCCGATTTTATGTACATAAAGAGGAGAATAATTGTAAAAACAAACCCCAGATTTGGTTACATTTAGCCCTTTGATACAGAATTTTATAGTGATTAAAAACTCTTACCCAAATATAACTGCATTCCATTGCATTATGTTATTCTCAGATGGTGCACCACTGACACCCACAGGAGGGTCTTCTTGCAATCTAAGAATTAGAAATACAGAATGACAAGCCTTATATAAATGAAATACTTCCACCTGCAAGTATAATTTAACAGTGATATCCAGATTTTGTAAATATTTCCCCATTCCAAATCAGAGAATACACAAGGCATTACGTGCAGACTATCAATACTCTAGGAGACGAACCAATGCACATCAAGATTGCTCTCACGTATTACATCAACACACTGCAATGGCCCAACAGGCTGGATTAAGCGTGTGGGGAGCAGAGCATTAACTGTAAGAATAATATAAAGTATCACACAGAGCTGGGATTTACAGTACCACACAGCAAACTATGAAAGAGCAATTGCTGCTGGCGGCCACAACGAAGAGGAGAACAAACTGCAGCCGCAAACGGGAGCTGAGAACCGGGCAGTGACACTTACACAGCACACGTGCTGGGACCAAGCCCAAGGGACTGGCAGCGGAGCTTTTCCTGCATTCCCAGGTCCGTGCGCGCGACGTGGCTAAATTTGGTATAAGCCTGTTTTGACTGGCAAGCTGATCGCTTCAAAAGGGAGCAAGGGGAAAAACCTGTGTACCGCTCCCTCTTACCAGTTCCACAGATTGTTTGTCTCTAAAGTCATCATGGAAGTATTTTAAATTCTTTCTAGTTCCTTAATCCTTGGACTAGGAGAAAGTACATTACTTATTGAAAGCCACATAAACTCGGACCAGACAGAAAGATACCGCAACCACAGAACAGGATCCAGACAACTCTCCTTCTGCCCATCCTTCTGTATACCACTGTTTCTGCTTAAGGATCACGTAAGACCCCAACCAACGTCAACCAGCGGAGCCCCAGCCACCTGACGAGCAATTTGTCCCATCGAACCCCTTCAGTGACAGCTCCTACCCACCCCGCCTATTCGGCCTCTCAAGTTATGCAAGAATAAAGAAAATGCAGGGACTACCCTTGCTTGAAAAGCAGTTCTTTAGCGTTACCACAAGGTTCGACCGCCATCACAGCGTGCTTACGAACAAGTCGCCACCAAAAGCCCTGCAGACCAAGGGACAAATTCTAACAAAATGTTAACGTGTAAATGCAGGTCTATTCAGAGCTGACGCTGGTATACAGCCAGTAAATTCTCCCGTGCTTGCACTGCCTTTAAATCTGTGATAAAACTGCACGTGTACATGGACGCTGAGCAATGGCGTTGCCCGACAGAGGCAGCCCAGAAGAAGCAGGGCTCACTCCACTTGCAGATCAGATCCCCTCTGAACCCTGTGTTGACATCCCTGCTCCCGAGCACACGCAGTTCAGACAGCTTAGTATCAACACCATAAACTACCTACTATTTTGGTCGGGGAGAGCGGGAGCGGGACTTCTTCCTACGCAGCAGCCAGGCTGCACGCCAGCAATAACGCCCGAGCATTCAGCCTGAGAAAGAAGGATGGCTGTGGTTTATAGATCGATTCAAAAGCTGGTGTGCGCCCTGCTGCCAAAGGGCCTAACTACGGAAAGGTTGGGGCAAGGACTGGAAAACAGACAGGTCCAAAAAGCACCCGGAAATCTTAAACAGCTAGGGAAAATGCAGTATTTGCAACCCCCTCTTCAACAGCAACAATAACATAAACAAACCCCTTATTTTTCTGTTGGTTGAGTCAAACAAATTAGAGGAGATACAAAATCTGTTGAACTGTTCTCTCTTCACTGCTCTTGACAATCACATCATGCAAAAGGAGTTTATATTTAACGAAGTGAATCAGAGTTCACAGCAGACAGTCTGCTTTTTCAGTATGAGGTACAAGTAACATAAGGCTAAACAAAAATATAACACATTAGGAAAGAGAAAAGTGAAAAAAAAAAAAACTGACATGAAGAAGTTGCCTAAGTTTTGGGGTACTAAAGTTGTCATGTATTTGATAAACAAATTTTATTTACTTGGTGGTTATTTGGTTATACTTCTCCACAGCTTTAAAGTCTTCTCTCCACCTCAAATTTCAAAATTATTAAAGCAGTCCTTCTAAGATTATAAAATCATAAAAAACACATCTGATTGCAATCCTGAAGAACTACTTAGATCCTCACCCTGAAAAAAATCACCAGTTCGTGCCATCTGTGCAAGCAAATACCCTGAGAACGACCGAGTATCTTGTTTTGATTTGAACAGGAATCAAGCAACACCCACTTAGCAAACACCAACACCCAAATACAACCCAAGAGGTGGCTTCCACATCTCAAAAACGGCCAGCTAGATTCACAGTTCAGGCTTTTACCTCTGCAGCTTCACATGCAGCCACGTAAAGCAACTACAATACGCGTCAACTGTTTACTGATGTATTTTCAGGTACCGGTATAACGTCGCTATGCTAAAAAAAGAGACACTATCAAAGCTGACTCACCTCCAACAACTTATGAGCGACTCCAGTCCAGAGAAATCACACGACATCGTGAAGCTTACAAAAGACCCCCCACCACCACCACCACCTTTTTCCACACTCTCTGTTGAAAGTGTGTTTACATGTCAGACTGGAAATAAATTATTCTAGAGTCTGCGGTTTGGTCATTAACATTTAAAAGAGTGCAACTAATAACTGCTTCTTTAGCAGTTTGTATACATTATACAAAAGGTTCCTCGTGATTGAAAACTTCAGACAGGAGAGCACGCACGTGAAGGCATTAAAGGGCGTTTTGCTTTTTCTTACAGACAGACAAACCAAGCGCTTGCCAATTCTTGGTGCTTCATTTTCAGCCGTCCGTCCCGAACCGCACCCCTCTTTAGAGGCCGTCAGCCCCCCCAGCCTCAGGCACCCAGCGCCCGGCCGGCTCAGAGCCTGGGCCGAAGCCCCCCGCTGCTCCGCGGCCCGTGCGA